TGATAGCCCAGAGGACTTCATGTGCCCTGATCATGCAGAATGTTTAGGGTCTGAGCTTATCATGAGCTTACTATAGTTTCTAGTAGCTTGAATTTGCATGTCTGAGCAGACCTGGAGATGGGTTCAAGTTACTCAACTAAAGTGTCAATACAGGCAATTAGAACTATTTTAATCTCATTGTTACAGTGTGATTGACTGACATTTCTTTATCTGTTCTGTATGTGATGACCTCAGAATCTTATTGTAATCTCTGCATTCTGTCATCAATTGCCCTGTACCTGTGTACCTTTAAATGCCCTGTAATGGTATTGAAGCTTTGCAGCAGAGTTCATCTCTGCCTGCCCGGTAATGCAGCCTGCATTATCGTGAGTCAACCGCGGGAACCTTGGGAGTAAAACAATAAAGTCTCAGATGGTCTGGATGCTTGGTCTTTCCCATAAACCCGAGTTTTATTCCCTCTTCTCAAATTGAGATTCCGGGATTCTGACAAAGGGACATGGGGAATTACAGACCTGTTAGCCTTATGTCCATTGTAGGAAAAACAATGGAAAGGCTCATAATAGGGAGAGATCTAGTGATACTAGATAGGGAAGGGAGGCTGGCAGCCACACAACACAGCTTTCGCAAAAACAGGTCCTGCCAGACAAACCTTGTGGAATTCTATGACAAGGTTTCGAGATGGCTAGATGGAGGGGAGGCCTTTCAGCAAGGCCTTTGGCAAAGTGCCCCATGATATCCTGGTGGAGAAACTGAGGAGTTTTGGGATACACCAAAGCACAGTCCGGTGGATTAGGGCATGGTTGACTGACCGAAAGCAGAAGGTAACCATTAGTGGGGAATCATCGAGATGGCAGCCAGTGACAAGTGGGGTCCCCCAGGGCTCTGTCCTGGAGCCGATCCTGTTTAATCTTTTCATCAATTACATGGAAGAAGGGGTGAACAGTCTGCTGATCAAATTTGCAGACGATACTAAAACTGGGGCAGTGGCCACAACTGAGGAGCAGGTACTCCAGATCCAAAAGGATCTGGACAGACTATGGAAGTGGCTAGGAGACAACAGGATGGCGTTCAATGTGGATAAATGCAAGGTGTTGCACTTGGGACATAGGAATAGGTGTCATAAGTACAGGTTAGACTGGACATGCACATGGTGGGCATGTCGTGAGCGGAGCCGGCTGGAGCCGGGGGTCAGACTAGATGGCCCAGGAGACCCCTTTTGTCGCTCTGTTTCTATATTTCTATGTTTCTAAGTCATGTTAACTACTCGATTTGGACTTGATTTGGGAACAATGAGCAAGTGGCTCAACTCAAGATTTCTACATTTTTTATAACCAAGTCCATCCAAGACTTACCTCTGTTCATTTGGGAGGTTACTCAGTCAAAAAAAGAGATTAAATTAGTCTGACTGGGTTTATTTTTGATCAATGTTGTCTTCAGTAATCACTGCATTTTCTTAAAGATGCTTGCAAGACTGATTTTTAAATAATTTGTTCCAGAATTTTTCCAGGGATTGATGTCAGACTGAATGTTCTGCAGTTCCCAGGTTCATCTCCCCCTCCCCCCCCTTTTGAAGATAGGGACAATGTTAGCCCTTCTCCCGTCATCTGGCACTTCTCCTGATTACCTAGATTTATCAAAGATAATAGCCAGTGGTTCTGAGAGTTCCTCTGCTACCTCTTTTGTGGCTCTGGGATGAAGTTCATCATCAAATCTCTGGGATGGAGATTTGAATGCTTTTATTTCACTAGGTATTCCTTGACCATTTGTCTGTCCGTCTTGGGCTGCCACCACTCACTTGCAGCTTGTACTTCCACTTGGTTGTAGATTTTCTCATGGGAGAAGACTAAGGTGAAGTAGGAATTGAGTGCCTCTGTCTTTTGTTGTTTGTCTGTTATCACTCTGCCATTCACTTTAAGTAGCTGAACACCCTTATCTCTCATGCCTTTTGTTTTAGTTGTATCAGAAGGCCTTCTTATTGTTCTTAGCATCCATTGCTATTCTCAGTTCACTTCCTGCTTTAGCACTCCTGACACCATCCTGGCAATTCCTGGCTAGCTGTTTGTACTCTTCCTTTTGTCCTGGTCCTGTTTCCACTTCCTGTGCATGTCCTTTTTTTCTTTCGGGCTGTCACTTAATTTTTTATGGGGTCAGGTGGGCCTCCTCTGTTGTTTTCTACACTTTTTTTCCTTGTTTGAATTGTTCATAGTTGTGCTTGGAGAATCTTCTTTTCCAAAATTTCCCACCCCTCTTGAACTCCTTTTCCCCTAAGGGTGAGTTGCCATGGCACTTCACTTATCATTGTTCTGAGTTTGTCCCAGTTGGCTTTATTGAAGTCCAGGATACATGTTTGGCTGCAGTTAACCTTGTCTCCTTTATAATTGAGAATTCAAGTTACTAAGTTCCTCTTCATGTGGGATGAGGTGACTGAAGTGATGCAAAATAAATTCCTCCACATTTTCCAGAGCACCCTAGCTATGTTACAAGATGAAGTTGGCATACCCTCCTTTAAGGCTAACACATAAGACACTGTTGATTTGTAATCAACAGGTTAAAAAGTGCCTGGTTATCAGTTACCAAACCTAGGTGTTCAGGAAGGTTGAGCTAAGCTCCTCATCCCCAAACTGGAAATCCTCAGATAATGCTTCACATTATCTGAGGATTGTTACCTTACATTTGAGATAAAGGATCACTGATTTTGGAGGGACCAAAAATCAATCATAGATAAAGTGTTCAACATAAACTGCAACTGAGATAAATCTAACAAACACCAGGGCTTTTTTCTTGAGGTATAGGCATCCAAAAGTAAATCATACTCTGTAGCTGTAGCAGTATAGGACAATATTTCTGTTTCCAATGTTCTGTCATTACTCATTGTAGTGCAAATCATATAGAATGGCTAGAGATTTTTCTCTTGTATTTTTTGTCCTGAGATGTCAGATTTTGAGAAAAATTGAATGCTTTTATCCAATAAGGGCAATTATGTTAAATATTAGGTCACATTCTTTGCAGTAGCTGCTTGTAACGTCAGAATGGAACTGCATTTACTTATATGCAAGTGCTAGAAATTGCTTGATTTTTTAATTGTGGATTTGCTTGGCCATTTGTCTCTCCTGCTTTGTGATAACCTTTGGTTTTTAGTAAAGATTGCACTGAACTAAATAAAATCCTCTTGCAGTGCAAAGCTAGGCCCACCATGGTGGAGAGACTTTGCTCTCTGGGCACAAGTGTTAGGTATGCCTCTGCTTGCATCCACCCCAGAACCTCTCCACCTTCTTGGAAAAATTGCCTGTCAAAAATTGCCTGTCAATCTTCTCCTTTATCAGTGGTAACAATCTGTGACCCAATAAAATCTTAAAGATCCAACAAATGGATTTCCCAGACTGCACTCCTTTTTCCACCCTAACTAGCTAAATACAACAACTGAAAGGTAAAGGGGGAAAACCCTGCCTTTCAAGGAAAAGTTGGTGGAGTTTTTGCTGAGGATGTTTCTTAGAGGTAGGCAGATCTAAAATAAAATGGAGAGGATACCAAGTTGTTTTGCATACCCTTGCCTAAAAAAGTGAATGAAAATGGACATAATACTTTCACCTGAGAAGTCCATGAAATATTGAGTGAATGAAATACATCAACATTTGTTGTATATAGTCAATTCTCGTATGTTGAGTCCCATGTCCTAAAATCTCTTTGTCTATTATGATGCTAAAAGTTGGAAAGACACATTTGTTTCTAAGCAGATGGTAAGTGTGATCAAGTGTATATGGAGATGCAGAAAAGCTTTATCAGGAAAGTTTGCCATAAATAAACTACTTAGATTGCAGCAAAGGTTAAAGTTTCTCCAGCCAGTTTGTACATTAGACAATATATGATTCAATATGGTACAGGAGATAATGAGATGGCAAAGCATATCCAGATTCTTTTCTCTGGTCTGCTAGAATGCTCACAAGATGACTGGAAATACTACCATCAGACTAGCTTAACTCTGTACTATTATGGGAAAGGCTCTCATGCAGATTGTATAGAATGAATAAAATGTATTCAAAGACATATTCAAGCTATTTTTTTATTTTCAGCCCTAACATAACATTATTAGGATAATCTAATATTTTGCCAAATTTTCCTGTTTATACAGATATTAATTAGGCAGAATGAACACTTGGATATATTCTGGTCCAGTAAATTATACTCCTTCACAGCACCTAATTTGTGTCAAATGGACACTTTTATGAAAGTCAACTGAAATGTATATCTGGAATCAAAAGAAAAGTAATTCTGAGTTCCCAGGGGAAATTCAGACTTTTTTCTCCTTGAAGAGAACCCCACTCCAAAATAAATTGCTCTGAAACTGAGGGGAATTAGAAAAGCAGTTTGTGATAGCATGGAACACTGCTCTGCAAAGGGAGGAAAATGTCAAATACCATTGAGCTAGCATAAACCCAAGCCCTTTTTATCCATGCCCAATCTAAAATTCTAGTTCTCACAAGTAGGGATAACAATTCAAAGTCCATATCAGTTTCACATATGTTCTTCAGCTTATTTTGGCTAATCTGTGGCTTTAAAAACTCTGCTTGAAAATTTGCATATACATACCTTTACTGAATGTATCTTCTCACAAATAATGCATTTCTAAAGTATCTTAAAATGCATTTTGTTACTGTTTTTGAGCTAACGACTATATTGGAACATTTGGAAATGTGCAAAATTGAAATGATAACTGTGCTTTGATTATACAGTAGATCTGAATAACGTCATGACATGTGGCATGTCATGACTGGAGCCAGGTGGAGCCCGGGGTCAGATGGCCCAGGAGATCCCTTCTGACTCGCTCTGTTTCTTTGTTTCTATAGCACAATTCACTGCAGAGTTCTCAAGCACATCTACTCTCTAGTTAGTATGCCTGTTTTAAGAAAATAGAACATTTGTCATAACAGAACAATAGATGAATTTGGTAGAATTACCAATGATTTAAATTTCTGTACCCCAAGAAGAAACATACACATATATCTATTTAAAAAAAGAAAAATCTTTCATCGCTTTATTATTTTCTACCGTAGTGTTAGCATTCAACAAGAACCATCACTCTTCTACCATTTACAATTCTCTGTTGCATACTCTACAAATACATAATTATCAGGCATATACAGGGAAATGAACAATTCTTGTAAGGCTTAGAAGTGACACATTTGTACAGATTCTCAAAATGTATCATTCAAAATGTAAAAATTACCCATATAGCTCTGGAAGGGCTGATGCTACATTGACAAAACAGCAAATATATTTGCCAAAAAACCCCCACAAGACAGAAATAAAATATGCAATCTGGGCAGAAGATACAATCAGCTCAATCCATGTCCTGTTTAAATATGCAAATGCTCCAACGTGCACGCACAACTCCCACACAAGCAGTGAATTTGTATCAGAGGCCACGCAGTGCATACATCTACACAAAGCACAAGAAGCACCCCGCCCCCAAACACTGAAGTTGACAGGAAAGCCCACTTTAAAAGAGGTTCCAAGTGGCAAAGCCTACACAGAGCTTTGGATGAGCCAGTTAAGTACCAGCAATGTTGCAGGCTTATCAGTATAATACCTATAATTGTAGAGACATATTTATGCGACATGTAATAACCAACCTTTAGAAAATTTGGGAAAAAACATTAAACATTATACACACAATGAGGTAAATGTACCTTGGTCTTTTAAAGAGGTAATTTAAGTTTAAAGCAACTGATTAAAAAAACATGTAAAACCACTGAAATACTATTGAAACCACTTTAATGGCACAGTAGAAACAGGAGCTAAATAAAATGTGGATTCTTGGCATTCATCTGACAAAGCATTATTTTGCTAGAATAGCCTATTTCACATGATAATATGAAAGGCTATGAACATCTGGGCAGGCAAATTGAAATATATAATAAAACTCCAGCTTATGAGGATTAAAAGTCCCTAGCAAGTTCCAGCATTCCAAGTACAGAATTCTTTCAATACATTCTGTAAGTAATCTGATCATATGTCATGATCTCAAAACAATTTTAGACTAAAAAACTGTATAAAAACTGATATCAAATGCATATGGTGTGAAGATTTACAATTGTTCACTTCAGTAGTATACCAGAAACCATTCTAGTATATCTTTGAAATGATATAAAATTAATGTTAAGAGTGCTAAAATATTTTGGTCCCCTGGACTCTTCAGAACAAAACAATATTATATCTAAAAATATTAATGCTTTTGTGGGTAAAAGTTTAAAGATCTTATTACCAGGTCATGGAAAATCAAAAATCAGCTTCTACGACTCTTAAGAGATTGCTTCGAAAGGCAGGCAAGCTTTTAAGACACCGCCCCCATCCCCATCTCTGAACTCCACTATACCCTTCTCCAGCTTGATGAAGGGTCCCATGGATTCCCTCCTGCTCCAGATCCCAAGGCACTTTCCCACCCTTCGTTTTACTTCCAAATGGGTCATGGAAAACACAGCAGCTGTTAGAATAAATAAAACTTTTGCTTCCTTCCTCTGCTTCTCCATAGTGCCCCAGAACTAAGGGCAGTGCTCCTTAAGAACTGCCATCTTGTAATAAAATGCTTTGCAGTACACTGGGAGGCTCAAGGAAGAAGAGAAAGAAAAACACTTCCTTCACGCTGCTGTTGTGGCTACTGCTGCTTCTGCACTCCCACTTGAAAATAAGGAAAATGGAAGACTGGGATGGTGCTTTGGAGTCTGCCAGGAATGACCTGGGAAGGCAGCAGAGACAGCAAAAAGAAATGGGGAAACCTTCTGAAACACCAAATTGTTCCTGGATACTTCCCAGATTTTCCTGATTTGGGGAGGAAAACCAAGCTGAGGAAATACTCTAATTTTTCCATGACAAATTTGTACATGATCTTGCAAGCAACAGATAAAAAGTTCTATATTATATGCAGACACTCATTCACAAGACATTGACAAACAATGGAAAACATATAAACAAAATTCAAATTATGTTACAGCCAAAGCCACAAATAACTGTGTACAATTTTCAGGATAGGCAATTTGCCTGTTGCAAAGCCTACTTAAAGAACAGAAAAAAAGACCTCCCTAAAATTTTGAGCTACTTTACAGTGGTCTCCTTTTACAAGGTATGTTATATATTCTGGATATGTAATAAACTAAAATAGAAAAATCATTTTAACTGGAGGGAGTTATGGATAGTTAAGATAACAGATAGCTGCTACACAGTTAATGTTTACTATTTTTCTGCATTCGTGTAAAATGATTGCAAATCTTGAAATCTACACTTTTAATTCATCTCTGTGTTGAATAAAGGCAAAGCCAAGCTGATGCCTTTTGTTTAACACATTTTAAATTTTATGCAAATCAAGACTAGTTTAAGACTCCCATTTCTTTTCTCTTTCTTTTATAAATATAATTGTTTTAAAGATATTAGTAGTGATCCAACTTGTGTGCAAGATTTAAATATTTAAGAGACATTCAAAATATACCTTTAAACACAATTGTTGTGCATATTTTCAGTGTCCTTGGTGTCGGCACCAGATATTTTAATTTGGGATTTTTTTGCTGTTTTGCAGAACTAAACCCATTAGTTAGAAACCAAGTTTTCTAGTTAAGTGTATGCTGAGAAAAAATGGCTTACAGGTTCCCAGTTAACAGATGGAGGTCTCAGGTCAGACTTGCATATGAGGCTCTTCCCCGTAAGTTGGAGATGGCCAATGCAGAAAATTTTAACAGCTCCATCTGTGCAAATGGGCAGGGGGTAGAAAGCCGAGATTCAGTCCCTGCACCTCCCCAAAATTATACAATGGTACAGAAATAACCAACAGTGTGGACTATCTGTCAAGACATCGAGTATTAACCTGATCTACATAGCAGCCCCAGATGCTGGGAAATATCCCATTTTGCACATATAGATTATAACTATTAAGGCCAGATGCATGCATTATTTTCATATGTGGAGCACTCTTGGAAAAACAGGGATCAGCTTCTATTTTAGCAAAGTGCTATTCTTTGAACAGTTAAGGTCTTACTGAAACTCCCCCCGCCCCCCCGCCCATAGATGGCATTCAAGAGCTAGAATTTATTTTAAACAGGTGAGTACTCATATCAAATTTTAAAAGAACCTTCAAGTGCTTTTTACAAGAGTCCTTAAAAGTTAAATGTCACTTTTGATACTACAATTCATTGTGACGTACAACTGCAATAGCACTTAATAAATCTGTACACTTCAATTCCTACAGTCTACAGAATTGGAGTTTTTGGTAAAAAGAAAGGAATTCACATGTGAATATGGAATCCCCTTTTAGCTAAGAGCCATATCATTTAATGTCACACTATAAGCACCAAAGTTTTTGCATGTCCCTACTGAACTGCATTTAAGATTCAGAAGTGGCACTAACAGGTACAGTACAATGTACAAGGCAAGTAATGTTCTGAAGTGAAAAAGCAGAAATATAGTATAAAATATAATTGCATATACTGTGCATGTTCCTCTCAGTTGAATGCAGTCATGTCTCTAAATCCTGATAAAAAGTGTCCAATAGTCATGTACTGGTAGTCAAAGACTACACAATCTGGTAAGAATAAGCCAAGAGTGGTTCAGAATATACAGTGTACCATCATGAGCAAAGCAAATAGCTTAAGAAAATGTTCAAGACATCCTTCAATGCAATAAATAGTGTGCACCAGTGCCACTATCTGAAGCATGATCTTCGTGTTCTCAACAAAACAGAGACCAGTGTTAACCTTTAAAAATGAGTTACATATTACTGAAGCTAGGCTAGTGCCCTGGGAAAGAGGTGTTCATAGTGCACAATAAGAATCTGTACAACTGTTTACTGCATCTATAGAAATCTTGGGCTAATAACTGATCTTCCTATCCTGTGTATAAGGCAGCAATATCCTTCTGTTCCCTCAGTGAGGTAGAACAATTAGCCTTCTCAATGCACAAACCAGGTGCAGATATGGACCTTTAAGAGTTTCCTTCAATATCAAGACTACATTTTTATGCCTTCTTGCTGACTGAGCTGTGACAGCGTTTTCTTAATGCGTAAAGCTGTTAGCCTTGCTGCACCATTGGCATACCAACATTCCCGCATAATTTTGGCCATTACTCGTAATGCCTGTAATGCAAAAGAAAACAGTAACTTTAGTTTGCATACAATAATTTACATTTCTGTTATCACAAAGTAGGCAGTTAAAATGTTTTAAATTTCTGTGATCAACTTGTGTCAACAGATCAAATTTGAATTAATATCCTCCAAGAAAGCAAAATATCCTAAAATCCACAATTCAAAATAAAAATTTAAACTCACATTCTCACATTCTAACATTCCATTGATTTAAGTATGTTTAAATATTCTGATCTTGAAAATTCTCACCTCACAGCTCTGCCACCTGTTTGGAATATTGGGTCTTAGCTTCTGTTCACAAACAACTTTCCGCATTTCTTCAACTGAAGGGTCAGAAGGGACTAGGTCGTAATAGGGTAATTGATAATCTTCATGAATTCCTGATACGCACAAACAAAAATGCAGCTTAAGGGTCTGACATAAGTGTGATAAAGGAAATTATATTTTATTTCTTCTTATACCTACCACCAATTGAACACCGACGAGCTATTTCCCAGAAAACTAATCCCATTGCATAAATGTCTGCTCTTTTGAAAGATTCAAAATGCTTCATGTTTATAGAATCATCAAGTACCTCAGGAGCCATGTACCTATTAACATAACAATGAATAGATATTATTTACAAATTCACGATTTTCAACATCATTTTCTTTAGTTGAGGGATTATAAGTAGCCATAACCACTTTGTCGGTTTGGCATCATCTCACTATTGTCCTAGCTTTCCACTCCAACCGAAGGCACTGATCAGTGCTTCTAATGAAACAACTACAACAAAGGGCTACTGGATTCCTGTGAAGTGTTGTCATTTAAACAGTGTCTGCCTGTTCCACAGCCAATAAGCTACAAAGAGTCAGTCAGCTCAGTTCCTTTCCTTGATATATCGATGTTCTCTAGGGCCAAAATCAGATGGTTGGAAAGGTGTCCTCTTCAGCTACGGACAGTAAAGACACCTAAAACTGTCCTGTGTTTTATTTTAAATCATGTCTACAAATTGAGATGGGATTATTTAATGTTTGACATCACAGGAAGCTCCACTATATTTTCAGGCAGTTTTGAAGGCGAAAACAGTATGAAGAGAGTCTTCCTTCTTGGGCCATTTTCCTCCTGCAAACCACCCTCCTTAACTGTGATTACCCTTCCTCAACCCCACAATATATTTTAGAAACCTAGAAAAATGGAAACGGAGCGAGTCAGAAGGGGTCTCCCGGGCCATCTAGTCTGACCTCCAGCACCAGCCGGCTCTGCTCACGACATGCCCACCATGTGCATGTCCAGCCTATCTTTGAACACCCTCACCAATGGGGCCTCAACGACCTCTCGTGGAAGCCTATTCCACACCCTCGGGGTCCTAACTGTCAGGAAGTGCTTCCTGGCATCTAAATGGAACCTTGGTTCCCTGAGCTTTGCTCCATTGGAGCGCGTCCTGCCTTCCTCTGCAGGGGAGAGCAGATGACATCCCCTCACATACCTGTATGTCGCCAACATATATCTCCTCTGAGTCTCCTCTTCCTCCAGGCTGAAGAGACCCAGTTCCCTCAGTCTCGCCTTATATGGCATCCCCTGCAAACTGGCCACCAACCTTGTGGCCCTATGCTGCACTGACTCTAACCTGGCTTATCCTTATTGTAATGAAGGGCCCAAAACCGAGCACAATACTCCAGTTGCGGGCACACCAGAGTCATATAGAGTGGTAGTAATACCTCTCTTGATCTAGAAGCCACACTTCTGGCCATGCAACCAAGGGTGGCGTTCGCCCTCTTAACCACCGCATCACATGGCTGACTCATGTTTAGCCTGCAGTCAACCAGTACCCTGAAGTCCCTTTCACAAGTGTTGCTCTCCAGCCACTTGTCCCCTAACCTGTACTTATAACAGGTATTCCTATGCCCCAAGTGCAAGACCTTGCACTTATCCACACTGAACGTCATCCTGTTGTCTCCTGCCCACTTCCATAGTCTGTCCAGATCCTTTTGTATCTGGAGTACCTGCTCCTCAGTTGTGGCCATTGCTCCAGTTTTAGTGTCGTCTGCAAATTTGATCAGCACACTGTTCACCCCTTCTTCCATGTCTTTAATGAAAACATTAAACAGGATCAGCCCCAGGACAGAGCCCTGGGGGACCCCAGTTGTTACTGGCCGCTATCCCGATGATTCCCCACTAATGGTTACCTTCTGCTTTTGGTCAGTCAGCCATGCCCTAATCCACCAGACAGTGCTTGGGTGTATCCCAAAACGCCTCAGTTTCTCCACCAGGATATCATGGGGCACTTTGTCAAAGGCCTTGCTGAAATTCAGGTATACCACATTCACTGCATCCCCTCCATCTAGCCATCTTCAAACCTTGTCATAGAATTCCACAAGGTTTGTCTGGCAGGACCTGTTTTTGTGAAAACTGTGTTGTGTGGCTGTCAGCCTCCCTTCCCTATCTAGCATCACTAGATCTCACTCTATTATGAGCCTTTCCATTGTTTTTCCTACAATGGACGTAAGGCTAACCGGTCTTTAATTCCCCATGTCCTTTCTACTACTCTTTTTGAAAATTGGGACCACTGATGCCACCCTCCAGTCCTCTGGAGCTTCACCTGTTCTCCACGAGGTGTCAAAAATGGAGGCCAGCGGGCATGAGAGAACCCCTGCCAACTCTCTAAGTACTCTCGGGTATAACCCGTCAGGGCCTGGCGCCTTTGTAATGTCCAATGCCCTGAGGAGCCCCTCGACTTCAAGGGGAGTGACTCTAATCTGTGCCCCTAAGTCCCCGACCTATGAGGATATCCCCGTCCTGCTTTGGGGAGAACACAGGCAAAATAGTCATTTAGCATCTGTGCCTGTTCCCTCACATCAGTCACTGGATCTCCTTCCTCCTTATTTAGTGGTCCCACTACTTGTCTCCCCTTCCTCTTCCTATTTACATGCTGAAAGAAGCCTTTTTTGTTGCTCTTGATATTCTTGGCAAGTCTCAGCTCGTAATCAGCCTTAGCCTTGCGAAGAATCCTTTTGCAAGGAGGATTTGAGGATTTTTCCTCAGAGGCTATTACCCCTATTGAGGAAGATAGTAGGGGAAGTGGAGGGAAGCAGATATACAGGAGCAATTTCCAGCAGACAGACAGACTGATCTCTAGCTGCCTAGAGATGCCATGGGCAAAGTAGTGATCCCATGGGCAAAACAGGCAGCATTTAAGTCCCACTTCAAACCACAGGCTTCTGCAGAGCTGGCACTGAGAAAAAGGCCAGGAGCACTCACATTAATGCTGTGCTGCAACTGAATCCTGCCCAACACAGTATAGGGACAGTGAAAACCATGAGAAGCCCCAGTTGAGTTCTGTTGCTCCCACTTCAGCACTCTAGAAGTTTTCTCAGTCCCTGCTGAGACATGCTGAGAGGGGTTTGGTGAGAGGCCTAGAACACTGGAGAAGGGGAAATGTGTTTTGGAAAGGTAAAACTAGATGGAAAATCCTTAAGTAACAAATAAATGGTTGGATGCTTGACAGCTCCAACCAAACCCAACTGGTCTCTACACTGCTCAGGATAGGATTAAATGCCACCCCCCCCAGCCCCCAAGAGAGGCAATTTCAAGACTGAGTCATTCTGAACCACAGGGAAGTATCATCTCAGGATGAAGGAAAATGCTCCATAAACTCAGAAAAACTATGCTATTTATAGTTCTGCATTGTCTTTCTTGTCTAACTATCTCTGTGGCCACTAGAGTGCACTATAAAACTGCAAGAAAAGCACCTACAGAGAAAAAGATTGAACAGGGGTATGTACAAGAATTTTGTTTTGATCCTTTACAGTGGTACCTTGGTTCATGAACTTAATCCGTTCCACAACTCTGGTCGCTACCTGAATTGGTCGCGAACCAAGTCAAATTTCCCTGTAAGGCTCAAGATAAATAAGGTTAATCTGTTCTGAACCATAACTTTATGTTATACATAAAGGACAGTACAAAAAATTTTAAATAAATAAAAACTTTTTTTTTAAACCACAAAAATATGAGCCATGTCCCTGGGCTGCAGGCCAAGCCGCGGCCGCCTTGCTGAGCCCAGGGGTGGATGGGGCGAGGTAGAGCGGAAGCAGGGCCTCTGCTGCAGCCTTCTCAGGGCAAGTCGCCACTCTTGCCTCGGCCCATGGAAAGCAGCCCTTACCTCCCTCCTCGCAGCCCTCTCCCAGCTGGGGGAGCTGCCCCGCACTCACCTCTCCAGCCTCCCACTCTTGCTCCCCCGCTCCCGGAGCCAGGCGAGTGCCTGCGAGAGGTCCTTCCTCCAGCTAGGAAGTGGGGCAGCCGTGAGGAGCCAGGAAGGCCTCGACCAAGGTGAGCACATGGCTCCCCCTCCTGGTGGGTGGGGAGAATGTTATTGTTTGGAGTTTTCCTGCAGGTAAGATAGCAATGATCATGTTCGTGTGGGAACATGGCTGCGATCGTGGTCGTCACCCGATGCTGAGTTCGTGAAAGGAGGCAAAATTTTGCCAAAATTTCTGTTCAAGTTCCTACTTGGTCGTGAACTGAGGTGTTTGTGAACCGAGGTACCACTGTATTTCTTTCTACCAGAACTTGCCCCATTCACTCCCAAATACAAGCATGTTTTCCAGACAAGAAAACACATTATAAAAATTTGCACTTAAAAATGTCTACTTTGAAAAGAAAAAAAAAAGCATTTTTACAATTCAGCCATAGGGGAAAGTACATACTTGGGTACATGCTTTAAAAGAATGCACATCCATTCACACAATGTTCCTGGCTCAAGTAACAACAAAAGCAAATCCTCTTGTTTGGGAATAGGGAGTTTTGGGAACCTAAGCAGCTGAGTAACTGGGTTTTATAAATTCAGGCTGCAGATGAGGTTTGACATGATGGAATGTTTCTCCTGTTTAGAAAATGATTTGGCAATGGGAAACTAAACTTCATGTTTTTGTTTTTAAATGCAGGATCATTCCATCATGAATCCATCTGAAGACTGAGTGGTGTAGTTCAGAAAGACGGTACTTTCCATTTATCATGAGATGTTGTAATAGATCAGCCAAATAGCAATTACAAGCAATTTTACCATTTACAAACATTTTCAAGACTACTTGCATAAATTTTCTGAGACAGTAGACATGGATGGTTGAAAGATCACTGGTTTCAAGGACAGGGCACATCCTCCCTCTCCACAGTTATTTTATTTGCTTACTGTTACAGTGGTGCCTCATACTTCAAACTTAATTCGTTTTAGGAGGCCATTTGAACTCTGAATTGTTCGAAGTTCGAAGCAATGTTCCCCATTAGAAGTAATGGAAAGTGAATTAATCCATTCCCAGACCCTAAACAGTACCCATTTGGGCTTTAAGAACAATTGAAAAAGCACTGAGAATGGATCAAAAAGCACTGAGGCATATTTTCACTGCACCTGCAGTTTGAATTTGGAAGCATCGTTCAACCTTTGGAATGATTGTATGTGGATTTTAGTGTTCAAACTCTGGAACATTTTAAGTTCAAGGCACCAATGTATTTTATTAAACAAAATGGCTGCTGAGATGAAGGATGTATCCTGCCCTGAAACTGAGCACTTTTCAGTCAGTCATGTTGGCCTACCTAAGGTGGAAGATAACCACTCAGCAGTGCCAGTGGGGAAGGTGAAAAGAATGAGACACTAGGTTTTCCATACCCAAACCAGCACAGTAAGAAATTGCAGATTTCCATTGCATAAGTAACTGCTGTCAGTACACCCTGGAAAGTATTGTCTTCAAATTAACAGTTACTTCACACATTCTGTTAAAAGAGAATGGTATTTTACCTTTTTGTTCCTACCCTGTGGTTTGGTGCAATATCTATTGTGTCTGTAGCAGAATCGTGTCTTACAGCCAGACCTAAATCTGCAATACAACATGTTCCATTTTTTTTTACTAAGATATTTTTTGATTTCAAATCTCTATGAGCTATAGCTGGTTTTCCTGCATTGAAACAAACAAAACAGATCATTAGTTGAATAGTATTTTCCAAGCAGAAGCTTCTTGATTGTTACACATGAAAATCAAAATTTAGTCTTGATCTTTGGCAAAATTTTGGTGTTAAACAACCTTCATAAATAGTTATCTGAATATCCATTTATGGTTTGAACAATTTTGAGAGCTTGTAAAATTAGAAAGAGAGGTGAAAGGTCATGATTTTTTCAAACTGAACTATTTGACAAATTTGAATAAGGTTAGCAAGATGGTGAAGCTCTTAACTGATTAGGAGAAGTGTTGTACGAGTATTATTTCTGGTACTACTGCAACCAAAGCTTTAACTTATTCTCAAACCTGAGGAATCTGAAGTTTATCAATACATTTCAGCATTGGTAGGATAAGCTTGAGCTCAAGGGTACTTTATATATGCATTGCATGCAAACTGTTCATGATTCAATTCTTAGCATCTTTAAGTAGAACTAGGAAAGATTCTCCTTCATGGATCACTGCCTAGTTGTGGCGAAGGGGCTTGCACAGCTCAATGAAGCTATGAGCTATGCCGTGCAGGGACACCCAAGACAGACAGGTCACAGCAGAGAGCTCTCACAAAACATGATCCACTGGAGAAGGAAATGGCAACCCACTCCAGTATCCTTGCCATGAAAACCCCATGGACAGAACCAAAAGCAAAAAGATATGACGCCGGAAGATGAGCCCCTCAGGTCGGAAGGTGTCCAATATGCTACTGGGGAAGAGCGGAGGGCTAGTACTAGTAGCGCCAGAAAGAATGAAGTGACTGGGTCAAAGCCGAAAGGACACTCAGTTGCAGATGTATCTGGTGGTAAAAGGAGAGTCTGATGCAGCAAAGATCTATACTCCATAGGAACCTGGAATGTAAGATCAATGAATCAAGGCAAGCTGAATGTGGTCAAACAAGAGATGACAAGACTGAACATCGACATCTTAGGAATCAGTGAACTAAAATGGACAGGAATGGGTGAATTTAATTCAGCTGATCATCAGGTATACTACTGCGGGCAAGAATCCCTCAGAAGAAATGGAGTAGCCTTCATAGGCAATAAAAGAGTAGGAAAAGCAGTACAGGCATACAATCCCCAAAATGACAGAATGATCTCAATTCGAATCCAATGCAATCCATTCAACATCGCAGTAGTCCAAGTCTATGCTCCAACCACTGGTGCTGAAGAGGCTGAAGTTGACCATGAAGGCTACAACACCTTCTAGAATTAACACCAAAAAATGATGTCCTCATCATCATGGGGGATTGGAATGCTAAAGTAGGAAGCCAAAAGATAACTGGAATAACAGGCAAGTTTGGCCTTGGAGTACAAAATGAAGCAGGGCACAGGCTGGTAGAATTTTGTCAAGAGAATACGATGGTCATAGCAAACACTCTTTTCCAGCAACCCAAGAGACGACTCTACACATGGACATCACCAGACGGTCAACACAGAAATCAGACTGACTATGTGTTCTGCAGCCAAAGATGGAGAAGCTCTATACAGTCACTAAAAACTAGACCAGGAGCTGACTGTGGCTCAGATCATGAGCTTCTTGTTGCAAAATTTAGGCTTAAATTGAAGAAAGTAGGGAAAAGCACTAGGCCACTCAGGTTTGACCTAAATCATATCCCTGATGAATATACAGTAGAGGTGACAAATACATTTAAGGAATTAGATCTGATAGACAGAGTGCCTGAAGAACTATGGACGGAGGTTCGCAACATTGTACAAGAGGTAGCAACTAAAACCATCCCAAAGAAAAAGAAATGCAAGAAAGCAAAATGGCTGTCTGAGGAAGCTTTACAAATAGCTGAGGAAAGAAAGCAAGCGAAAGGCAAGGGAGAAAAGGAAAGATACACCCAACTGAATGCAGAATTCCAGAGAATAGCTAGAAGAGATAAGAAGGCCTTCTTAAATGAACAGTGCAAAGAAATAGAAGAAAACAATAGAATAGGGAGGACCAGAGATCTCTTCAGGAAAATTGGAGATATGAAGGGAACGTTTCATACAAAGATGGGCATGATAAAGGACCAAAATGGCAGGGACCTAACAGAGGCAGAAGAGATGGCAAGATTACACAGAGGAACTATACAAGAAAGAGCTTAACATCCCTGATGGGGTGGTCACTGACCTCGAGCCAGACATCCTGGAATGTGAGGTCAACTGGGCCTTAGGACATCTGAGCAACAACAAAGCTAGTGGAGGTGACAATATTCCAGCTGAGCTATTCAAAATCTTAAAAGACGATGCAGTAAAAGTGCTACACTCAATATGCCAGCAAATTTGGAAAACTCAACAGTGGCCACAGGATTGGAAAATGTCAGTTTACATTCCCATCTCAAAGAAGGGCAATGCCAAAGAATGTTCAAACTACCGCACCATTGCATTCATTTCACATGCTAGCAAAGTAATGCTCCAAATCCTACAAGCTAGACTCCAGCACTATGTGGACCGAGAACTACCAGAAGTACAGGCACGATTTCGAAGAGGGAGAGGAACTAGAGATCAAATTGCCAACATACGGTGGATCATGGAGAAAGCTAGGGAGTTCCAGAAAAAGATCTACTTCTGCTTCATTGACTATGCTAAAGCCTTTGACTGTGTGGATCACAACAAACTGTGGCATGTTCTTAAAGAGATGGGAGTAACTGACCATCTTATTTGTCTCTTGAGAAACCTATATGCGGGTCAAGAAGCAACAGTGAGAACTGGACATGGAAACACTGATTGGTGCAAAATTGAGAAAGGAGTTTGGCAAGGCTGTATACTGTTGCCCTGCCTATTTAACTTATATGCAGAGCAAATCATGAGAAAGGCGGGGCTAGATGAATCACCAATTGGAATTAAGATTGCTGGGAGAAATATCAACAACCTCAGATATCCAGATGATACCACTCTCATGGCAGAAAGTGAAGAGGAACTAGAGCCTCTTGATGCGGGTGAAGGAGGAGAGTGCAAAAGTTGGCTTGAAACTCAACATTAAGAAAACTAAGATCATAGCATCCGGTCCTCTCACTTCCTGGCAAATAGATGGGGAAGAAATGGAGGTAGTGACAGATTTTATTTTCCTGGGCCCCAAGATCACCGCAGACAGGGACTGCAGTCAAGAAATTAAAAGACGCTCGCTCCTGGGGAGGAATGCTATGGCAAATCTAGATAGCATACTAAAAAGCAGAGACATCACCCTGCCAACAAAAGTGAGTATAGTCAAGGCTATGGTTTTCCCAGTTGCAATGTATGGCTGTGAAAGTTGGACCATAAGGAAGGCTGAGCACCGAAGAATTGAGGCCTTCGAACTGTGGTGCTGGTGGAGACTCCTGCGAGTCCGTTGGACCGCAAGGCCATCAAACCGGTCAGTCCTAGAGGAGATCAACCCTGACTGCTCTTTAGAAGGCCAGAGCCTGAAGATGAAACTCAAATACTTTGGCCACCTAATGAGAAGGAAGGACTCCCTGGAGAAGAGTCTAATGCTGGGAACAATAGATGGCAAAAGAAGAAGGGGATGGCAGAGAATGAGGTGGCTAGATGGAGTCACTGAAGCAGTTGGTGTGAGCTTCAATGGACTTAAGCTCACTTAAGGGGATGGTGGAGGACAGGGAGGACTGGAGGAATGTTGTCCATGGGGTCATGATGGGTCGGACACGACTTTGCGACTAACAACAACAGGAAAGATTACAGGTTGTTATGTTGGAGAGTTGAAATCAGGTAGTGACCCAGTTCAAATGTAACAACAGCCCGTGAATTGCCACAGCAGTGCACAAATAAATGCTCTACCTCCAGACCACTTGCTTCCAATTTTCATCCGGTGAAACAAAAAACTCAGGAGTGCCCTGCTTCTGGCTTGTTTACTACAGTGTCTGAATCTGGCACTCTGGATTGTTGAAGGAGAAACAAACTAGAGTTTTAACCCATGTTTTCTTAAAGCTCCAGGAACTGAATGCAAAGCAAACACAGCAAGCAGCCAGGAAGTGGTATGCTTACAGCCAGGATCAACCACAGGGTAATTCAGTCGAGTTGATTAATGTACATTATTAGGCAATTTTTATACATGTGCATGAGAGCACAAATTTAACAATGTAATTTTTTCAGACATGGACATAATAAGAGCCCACAGACTGTATGAGGTAAATTACCTTGTGTACCAACAATTTCCATGTGAAGATGTGCAAGTCCACTTGCAGTAGACAAAGCAAGTTTTATCATTCCTTCCACAGATACAGTATACCTGTTTAGGTAATCAAAGAGAGAGCCATGCTCATGATAATCTGACACCAACCAGAGCTGTGTCCATGTACCATTGTCTGCAAAACAGAAGACATACTATAAAAGTACTTTCCAAAGACAAAACAAAAATGAACACCAATGAAATGCACAAGTTATTCTTATCCCATGCATGGTCAGTATTTCATTTAACCTTCCTTGCTATAAGGTCTCAAGGCAATGGGAATCATTTCTACTGATGCCAGATAATAAAAGTAATCACTACAATTGTGCACATACCAGTGGTTTAAATTGCAATGAAATCAATGAGATTTAAGTGACCCATGTGCACAGGATTGCAGATAAACAATGACATCGTGAACAATATGTTTTTGAGAATTCCAAGCTTCCAGAATAATGTCTGGAATCCAGAGACATAAGTCATTGCCATATAAGAAATGTGTATGATACCATTTCATTTAAAATGGACAGGACAGTATTCTCCTTGCAAGTGTCTGAATCCTTTTAGGATATGAATGGGAACAAATTATTTATCTGCATGGACTAGGACTACAATCTATAAACCAGGACTGCACGACTATAAACCAGAGCTTCCCAGCCTTTCTGGACTAGTGGGTACACATGGAATTTAGGAATGTGCTTTGCCATAGGATGTATGACCAGTCAGAAAACCAAATTCATGAGGCTGTGGCTAAGTTCGCATGACAGGAGGATTAGGATAAATCCCCATCCTTCTAAGCATTTGTGGGCTTCCTCTTTTGTTCAGCCTGGTCTTCCAAAACCACCTGAGTTGAGAGGAAGTCTGCAAACACTTGTGGACCCCCTGGCTGTAAAACCAGCAACCTTCTTCACCATCAGGTTCAGCTCTGTAAGATATGGGAGAGAGAATCCTTCAGCCATCCCATGGAAGACAGAAATTGCCACAACATAGATTCTGATAGAAGATAGTTCTAGTCCTTAGGTGTGGATCATGTAAAGGAAATTGAGAATTTGCTGAATAGATGTCCAGGATGGTTTGAATGTTTCCTTCTGGATGAAATGCATAAAGGAGTTCCATTTGTCCTTGTAGAAGTGCCTTGAGTTCCACTGTACTTCTGTCTCCAGGATCAACTGTATTGCAGGTTGGAGAGAGTTCTCTCAATGTACCAGCCAATCCTTCATGCTGTTAGACAGATGATTCCAAGAGATGATATCTGGTCTTGTCAGGAGGTGGATGAACCATGCCTGCCTGGTCCACCATGGGGTCACAAAGATGCAGAAGGTATTCCTTATATGCCCTCACGCCCCTTAAGATCTGTGGGAGAGGCCCTGCTCCGAGAACCCTCCCTAAAGGAAGTAAAAAGGACATCTACTTGGAACAGGGCCTTCTCTGTGGTGGCGTCCAGATTATGGAATACACTCCCCAGGGAGTTTCGCCTGGTGCCAAGTCTATATTCTTTTCAGTGCCAGGTTAAAACCTTTTTATTTAATCAGTATTTTAAAAATTAGCATTTTTATTGATTCATAGTCGCCTTTGCTTTGTTTGGTTTTGTTCTGATTTGATTTATGGTATTTGGTAATTTTATTGTAATGTTTTATTGATTGTTGTTATGATTATTGGTTTTAATCTTGTAAGCTGTCCTGAGACGTGATAGTGAAAGACGGCATATAAATGTTTTAAATAAAATAAATAAATAAATATTCTTTCTCTGGATCTTGGCTAGTACCCTGTTGATTAGCAGGAATGGTGGGAACAGGTAGAACAACATCCCTTCCCATTGAAGAAGTAACGTGTATTCCAATGAACCCTGGCCAAGCCCAACACAACAGCAGAAGGACTTGCACACCACATTGTTTAGCATGGTGAAAAGGTCCATGGGTGATGTTCCCCTGGCCTCTAACAGCTGCCTCAGGATCTCCAGATGCAGCTCCTTTTTTGTGGGTCCCCTCAGGACTCCTGCTCAAGATGTCTGCCATTATGTTGCTGACCCATATGGCTACAATGGTAATATCCTATTTCAGGCACCAGTCCCAGATCTACAGCATGCAATAGGTTACGGATGCAGACTCCATGCTGCCCTGTTTGTTCAGGTAGAACACCACTGTTGTGTTGTCTGATGTGACCTGAACATGTTTTCCTCTGAGGAGCTGGAAGGTGAGCTGTGCTTTCTGTACTATAAGCAGTAGTTCCTGAACTGGGCTCAACTTGGAGCTGTAGGGCCAAGCTGACCTGTGTTACCACTGAGTCAGCAGGAAGATAACCACGTGCTATCACAGAATTTAGCCTTGCCTCAAAGTAGAGAATCAACTGGGCAGGAAGAAGCACAGATTTCTTGGTGTCGGTAGAGAGTCCCAGTCTTTCCAAGAATTCATGTGTTTCAGATGGAGCCCAAGAGATCCTCCTGGGATGTGGTGACCAGCAGCCAGTTGTCCAGGTAAGGAAAAACCTGGATTCCTTGTGGCCTGAAATAGGTGCACACCACAGCCATGCATGTGGTAAAGACTTGTGGGGCTGTGGAAGGCCAAATGGGAGCAAAGAAAACTCACAGCTCCCAATTTGAAACCAGAGACTATGCTTGTAGTCCAGATGAACAGACACATGACAATAAGCATTCCTCAGATTGAGGTGAACCAGTCCTATTGGTACAGCAACGGAAGGTTTTGCAGTGAGACCATGAGGAACTTCTTGTGGGGAATGAAAAAGTTTACATCTCACAGGTCTAAGATGGAATGAAGGCTGCCATCCTTCTTCAGAATGGTGAAGTACCATGAGTAAAAACCATAATGGAGATTGGTTGGAGTGATGGGTTTAATCACTCATTTTGGTAGTAATATGGTAACCTCTTCTGCCAGTACAGGAGAAGGCAATGGTCCCAAGAGGTGCAAGGTCAAATTCAATATAGTATCCACTTTCCAAAATTGAGAGAACCCACCAACCTGATGTTATGGCTTCTCAACTGGGAGAATAGATTGTAAGGTGACCTTCAAACCATATTTGCACCATTAGCGAGGGGCTTGTTTGATCCAGGAGTTTGTCGTGTTGCCTATTGGTATCCTGCTTCTTCTTGGGATGCAGGAACTGAAAGGCACCCCAGCAACATGGCTGGGATTGTTGCTGCTGGCATGCGGGTTCGTGGTACTGGCTCTGAGACTGGAACAAGGATGAGCTCCATGTCCACTCTGGAACAAGGACGGGCTCTATGACCACTTACATGCCCTTGGTGGCTGCAAGGGTGAGAAGCCCATCCCTCTCACCATTGCCCTGGACTCCTGGACACTATCCAGTTTTCTGTTGGTCCAGGCACTGAAATGTCTATCTCCATCAAAAGGCATTTATTCAGTGTGAGACCAGACCTTCTGGGAAAGGCTTAGTATCAATAAGCACACATGCAACCCGATTGCCACTGCACCAACAAGGGCCCAGGAGTTGAGGTCAACATAGTGACAAGCAATACTGATTCACTGCCAGGAGAGTCTGTGGGCCTCTGCGTGAAACACCTTAGCCAATTCAGTGTTTCTCCAAAAGGAACTTGACTACAGCACCCATCTTCTCCCACAGGAAGGTTTAGTATCTTCTCATGGTGGTCACATAATATGAGATCTAGAGACACAGTTGCATTGCTGTGTAGACCCTCCTCACCATGGCATCCAAATGGCATCCCTCTTGATTTGCCAGGGTGGTATACTCTCTCTGCATCCAACCCTGAGCCAACTCTATGATGGCAGAATTTGGTTGCGGGTAGTGTATCAGGGAGAGAATGTCCCTCTCCTAGACACAGAACAGGCTTTCCAAACGCTGGGATGTTGGCTGCAGCTGTGTCAGTGTCTTCCACAGTTCCTTCATCAATTGTAGAAGCAGAAAAAGGAACAGGATAGCCACTGGCATGGAGTTCTCTGTCAGGACAACGTCACAGACTGGATCCACTGGTGGTCTGGTAAAGTGTTGGGTTCCACCCAAGCAACACTGTCATTTGGAGGACCTGTTTGGAGAATCTTCCAAGGTCTTTGGAAGGAGATGCCAGGCCTTGTGCCAAGATGATGTCTTCAGGTGATGAAGATAACAGGTCATCATACAGCAGTGGCTGGTCCGAGTTAGACAAATAGTTGGTGGGATCCAATGAGAAAGAATGGGCAGATGGTGAGGGAGTATGACAGGACAGAGCAGACTGAGTATGAGTATGCAGCTGACAGGAACTGGCAGCTGATAAGTGAGAACTAGTGGTTGCACCGGGACCAAAGAAGGTGCTTCCCATGGTGGTTGTACTGCATGGTAAGTCGCTATGTCACTCTGTTAGCGATATGGATCCATGGGTCTCCTCTCCCAAAGGCAACTACTGTAATATGGATCTGTTGGTGGAAGTGACATCCAGAAAGATTCCCGGTCCCAGGTCATTGGTAGGAACCTGGACCATTCTGTCAGGTGATGGCTGGAAGCATATGATGGGTGCAAAGAAAAGATGGCATGTGAGTGCCCAGCAGTTTGCCTTGGAACCAGCATAGATGGCTGTTACTCCTGGTATAGGAAGTGGAAGAGCCTGGGAGGAGATAAAGGAGAAAGACTGGCCAGCATATGGGGTGGCGAGTCCTATATTTCTCCTTCAGAGAAAGACAAAAAAGTGGTTGGTTCTGTTCAAACCACTGAGCCTCATGGAGGCACCTCTGCAGAACTGGTGAGAGGACCAGTGGAGTAGCCAGCACTGGGGCTGCAGTCAGGACCATTGACAGAACTGGGGCCTGACCAGAAGACTCTGATAATGAATAGTAGCATCAGGTTCATTTCTTGGGTTTGCCTTGCCCTTCTTTGCTACACAGACCCAGGCTTGGGTGGCATGGACAGAGCGGTTGTTGAAGCCCCAGCAGCCAACAATGGCATATGAGAGGCATGAGTTGCCAGAAATGTCAAAGGGTGCTCTGTCAGGGCTGCCATGACCAACTGAATGGCCATAAGCACATGGTTCCACATCTCCTTCTTGAGCCAGCCTACTCAGTTTTACTGAGCCTGCAAGGTAAATGGCAGGTGTCCATCCGGTGATCTTCACTTAATTAAAATAGGAAAAGAGAATGCCCATCAGTTGAAGGCATTTGTGTGCCACACTGTACA